TAACTTGTCTAGCGTCTCGCTAGTTTCGTTTTAATGTTGCAATTAAAACTTTAGTAACCTAATATGTAAATTTTATGTTATTGATTATTATTTTGGATTATTTTTCTGAAAAAAAAAATTGTGCGAAAAGTAAAACAATAAGGTGGATATACATTAAAATCTATATTATTACATTATGGATTCCTAAGTTTAGTTCATTAATAATTGTAGGAAAAATGGAATGTTGATGGCTATTCATTACACTCTACTTAAATCATTGGATTTTTTAGCCTGTCCATATCAAGTATTTGAGCGGCAAAAGTGGGTGGGATCAAGGGCAAAGAAGAAGAAGGTAAAATGTAAATATGATAGGATATCAAAAAGTAGATTTAATATACGAAAGTTAAATTTTGAAACGAAAAATCCATGTTCTTATTACACATTTAACAAACATTTTGGAACCCTTTGTTTTCCTAGTTACAAAATCACGAATTTACAAATCATTATTCGAGTATTTGAACAAAAATGTTCATCTTACTAGCCACCAGCCAGTCGTAATAATTACGTTTACTCGAAGAACCATTTGTATATATGTTTATGTACATTAATTCTTGATCATGTTGTACATGATAATTGATAAACAAATTTCAACTTCAATTGTTCAAGAATCAAACGAAAATGGAGGCTTCAAAAGATCATAAGGTGCCCAAAGAGCATCCAATGGACATGGTCTCTCCGCATCAAGTCTCACCCATGGCTTACTTTTACCACTCCAATGCAATAAACTCACCGGTCCGGGATGTAAATCTCTACAAAGCCCACGAAAATTGTCCCCGCCGAGACCATGCTGGTTCCACCGATGATCCACCGGAGCTATCTTTCCGGCGAAAACAAGCAAGAATGGAGGCAAAGAACCTAGTTCATAAATCCTCATACGTTTCTGCAACTCCATCCATTCTTCTATCTTTGTCGTGTATCCGCCGTCACGCCACCTGTCTAAGTCCATAACCATCACTCCGGTATTGAAGTAGCAAGGTTTCCGGTCATCAAAAGTTGAAGAGAGCGATGGGTTTGACCAGAAAGTAGGTGTAAAGTAGAAGGTGAAGTTAGCGTTGCAGTATTCCGGCGCAGCAAGAATGGAGTCTCTGAGTGGAGTTGCAGCAAGCTTTGCTATGTCGTCGACGAGCACAAGGTCAGAGTCCAGGTACACCACTTTACGGACATGGGTAGGGAGTATGTCAGCGAGGTAGCTCCGGGCGTAGTTGAGTGGGCAGTCAAGGGCGGCGCGTATGGAGGTGGAGATGAGTCCGGCCACCAGTGAATCCTCAAAAGGGTAGACGTTGAATCTTAGATAAGGAAAAGAGTTAGCAATGGTGTCGTGTAGGAGAAACGTGTTGGAAGAAGCGGAGGTGACAAAGTGGAAGATTATGTTTTCCGGGCAGGAGGAGTGCTGAAGGACGGAGAGTATGGCGGCCATTGATCCACGGATGTAGGCGGCGTCAAGAGTCATGGCGACATGTACTGTTGAACCATCGTCGGTGTGGTCAGTTGAAGGGCATTCCGGCGAATTGTAGAATTGTGGGGCTTCTTTGAATTGTTGTGAGATGGAGAGGGTGGGTGTGGGTGCGGCGGAGGAATGGAGGAGAAGGAGGAGGAGGGAGAGAGGGATGAATTTGATCATGGCCGGAGGTGTTTCTGTAATGTCGGAGGAGGTGTTATGGTATTTAAAAGCAAGAAAGGAATCGTAAATTGGGGTTGAAGCAATTGTTTTCTTTCACCGGTCTTGGTCTACAAGCAGCTGTAAGCTGCCGGCCGGTTTGAACCGAGTCTTGGATTTTGATATATATAGAGATAGAAAATACAATATAATCTCAATTGTATAACAGCTCCATTTAAAATTAAAGGTGTCATTTTTAATTTTTTATATACTATTTTTATCCATATTTTAAGGTTTGTTAAGCAAATTAGCTTAAAAACTAACTTTTGTGTTATGATATAGTTGGTTAATAATATTGTTAATAACCCATAAGCTATTTGATCAAGTAAAATATGGTTTGGTAAAAAAATATCTTATAAGCTAGATGTCAAATATAAACCGGTAAACAAAGATTTAGAACAAAACACAATGAAATATTATTGAAATAAATTGTAAATTTCATCATATTAAAGTAATTAATAACAAAGAGATTTTCTATAAGTTGAGATTAACTCACTTAGCTAATAAGGTGTCAAATTAAAGTTTCTAATAAGAGGTACTAGGATTAATCCCAGACAAACACTAACCCTATCTTTAAAAAAAAAAACAAAGAGAGATTTTCAATTATTCAAAGGTATAAAACACATTATTGCTTTCAGTATCATATTAGATGAAATTTTTATCTACTTATAATCTAAACATATAAATTTTTTGAATAAGAATATTAACTTTCAAAAAATAATATGGAGAGATTAAAGACAAGGGTGGGTGAAAGTGTCATTTCAAGGTATTTGTGTGTTGTTGACTATCATGGTCGAATGTTGAGATGCAACATTTGGTGAAAGGGGTACATGAGCGACCACACGCTGACACGAGAGCGTATACCACTCTAAGCAAAAGCAACACTTCAACTTCTAAATATGTGCGATGGCAACAAACACTTACAAATTGTTTAATTTTTGGAAATTTATTAAATTCAAGTTATTAGAATCCTTTTAAAAAATTCCCTAAACGTGTTTCACATGTATACGTAGTCAGATCAAATGGCATGAAACGTTGCAAAATTTCACTTCTTTAGTTTTATGACTTGGCCCATTATATAGAATGAGAATATTTTATCGAGTAAATTACACGCATGGTCCCTATGGCTTGGGGTAATTTTTATATTTGGTTATTAACTTATTTTTTAACTCGGAATGTCCATACTGTTTGTTTTTGTTGCGCTTGCTCCATGTCTTACCTAAAAAGACTATTTTTACATTGATTTTTTAATTTATTTAAATACACACACCTTAACCCCACTTCCACCTCACCTTAACTTACCTTACCTAATCCACCTTATTTAAATAAATTAAAAAATCAAGAGCAAAATAGTATTTTTAGATAAGACAAGGACCAAACGCGCAACAAAAACAAACTGTAGAGACCTTCCGAGTTAAAAAAATAAATTGGAGACAAAACATGCAAATTACCCCAAACCATAATGACCATTTTTATAATTTACTCTATTTTATGATAAACGTTTTCTTTTATGAAAATTTTAATATGTATTGATAATTTATTTATTTATTTTGGAATGACGATCCATACATATTTTAATATAATCCTAAACTAATTTTGAGCGTGTTTGACAAAAGTAGCTGTTAGCTGGAAGCGGGTAGCTGGTAGCGGGAAGCTATAACTTTTATTTGTTATATGAATGTTTGACAAAAGTAGCTGGAAGCTTTTGAAATATTACATAAAAGGACAATTGATTAAAAATAAATAAACATATAAATATATTTTTAAGGGTAATTATGGAAATTGATTTTAAAAACTCAGCAGCGTTTTGTTGAACGCTACATGAAGTAACTTTTAGATTTGAAGCGTTTTTTTTTTAAACTAAAAGCTAAATGCTCGTACTACCAAACGAAACTTTTTGTTTAAACTAGAGCGTTTTGTCAGAAGCTAAAAGCTAGAAGCTCCCAAACGCTTCCAAAAACTCCGTGCCAAACAAGCCCTTTGTCAAATTGGCTAAGATTTACTAAATGTTGTTTGAGGAGTCTCATTGTGTTTTTAACTATGTTCAATATAAAAAGGATACATCAATAAGTGGTCGCACAAGATTTACCCTTTTTATATGATTTTTCAACTTTTCTGAAAGATAATGGTGTAAATTTACAACTATAACCATTGAATTACAAATTTCACATAATGTTCCTAGATAACATGTTATATTAATGTGGTGGTGTTTGCCCATGCTTTGCCAATGTATTTGCTCAAATTGACGATCCTTAATAATGAATGCATCGCCATTAAAACATGTTCCATAAAAGTAGGGATATGGCCGCCTATTTCGATACCCATAACTCTACTATGGCTATTTTGTCTTACGGTTAATATATATAAAGAAATAAAAGAAATTAAATATCCAATCATAAGAAAATATGAATATCCAATGAAATTATTTTGTATTAATAATTAAAGACCAAAAACCTAAATATTATGAATCCCATTACATGAGTAACTAGAAATCTTGTGAAAATTATATTTTATTGTAAGGTTTATTAGATTTAAGCTGAGTTTGATTCATACTGTTAGGACGGAGGGAGTGGGCAACAACTATCATGTTGGGAGATTTATGAGGAGATATTGGAAATACCATAGGGAACATCATTCCCTTCTTTGTGGTAGGCCTGACAATTCTCGACACGAACCGTGACACGACACGAAATAAACAGGTTTGTGTTGAGCTTTTCAACCCGTCAACCCATCAACCCGTTTATTAAACAGGTCATATATGGGTGTCTCAAAAAATATACGGGTTGACCCGCCAACTCGTTTAGAATTTTAATCAAAAAATTTATATATTTTTAAATGTATTAAGTATTATACACTATACAATTTATACTTTATACTAGGATAGGATACCCGATACCATTGACCATTTTACATTTGGCATTTGCCCTAAATAATCTCAGTATCTCACAAACAAAAACAAGTCCTCTGTCGCTCTCCCCTCTATGATGAACGATAGAACGAACTCACGAATAACGGCGACATGAATGATTGAATCATTATTGAATGACGTCGACGCCTGAACGTGAACGACGAACGCACAACGCAGTAGACAATTGATTTGCTGCGATCTAACCTACGAACATAGGAACCCAAATCAGACCCACAAACCCAAATTTAACCCACGAACCCGCCAACCTGTAAACCCATATAAATAAGTGGGTTGATGGGTCATATATTGGTTTATGTTCAGAACCCGCCAACCTGTGACATGTATAGTTAAATTGGTCATGTTCGGGTTGGTATATTTTGCCCCACCAAACCGCTACCCACCAACCCGAACACGACACGATTGCCAGGCCTACTTTGTGGTACCGAAGAAAAAGGGAAATAATCCCAAGAATATCGTAAACTTGGGACTTGGGTGTATTATTGCATGGCAATCAATCTACAAGGTTGTTGGGCCGATTATAATAATTCTTATATTAGGCTAATATACACATGTATACAATATACACTAACATCTCCCAACATTTTGATCGAGAGGTAAATGACGGACATTTAAACCGGAGCGAAAATTTGAGAATAAGCTGGTGAGTAGACCTTTGGTAAAGATATTGACATAACGAGGGGCGGATGGAATATGAAGAACACGTATATGGCTGATAGTAACTTTGTCTCGAACAAAGTGAATGTCGATTTCAATATGTTTCGTTCTTTGGTGTTGAACTGGGTTGGTTGACATGTAGACCGCACTGACATTGTCACAATATACAACGGTTGCTTTTGGCATAGAACAATGAAGCTCAAGAAGAAGGTTCTGTATCCAAGAGATTTCAGCAACGGTGTTGGCAACACCGCGATATTCGGTCGTTGGAGCCCATGGTCAAGAGTGCCTTGAACATAACGTAGAATCTGTTTGAGAGCGTGAAGATAGGGCTCTCGAGGATCATGCATGTATAAGAAAATATGTTGAACTGCGAAAGCAATGTCAGGTCTGGTGAATGTGAGATGTTGAAGGGAACATGCTAAACTGCGAAATAAAGTGGGTTAGCTACTAGAGGGCCGGATGCATCTAGTTTCTAGACTGGTTCAGCTGGAGTCCGACATGGGTTATAATTTTTCATGTTGGCTCGATCCAAAATCTCATAGGCATACTTTTATTAAGAGAGGGAAAAGACATGTAGAAGATCTGACAACAGAGATACCCAAAAAATAGTTAAGTGGCCCAAGATCGGTCATGGAAAACTCGTGGCTAAGTTTGTCAATAATATGTTGTAAGAGAGTTGTAGAAAAAGTTGTCAGTATTGTAACACTCGGTTTCGAATTGCTTCATTTGTAACATCCCGGAATTCAGGTGCGTCTCTTAAACCCTTCTTCTTTTCCAAGTTGTCAAGTTTAACCCTTAAAGGAAATATTAAGGCAAATGAGTACGTTGGGCGTACTGAAGAGTACGCTGCGCGTACTCATGCGCTTAAGTTGGACGCGGACTCGCCTAGGTACGATGGGCGTACCCAGGGTTACGCTGGGCATAGCGGGCCCAAATGCAAACCCTAATTTGAGGCTTGTGCACTATAAAAGGAATGTTAAGGCCTTATCCACAGCCACCATACTTCAGTGAGTGAACCTTAAGAGAGCAGAAAACCCGTATTAAGCTTGAATGTGTATTCTAAGCTTCAAAGTGCCATTTCAAGGTGGTGAAAGAGAAGAGGAGGCCATTTTAGGAGCTAGAAGTTGGTGGACAAGAGTAGATCCGAATTCTTTAGAGGTTGGAGCTTCTTTCTGAGGTAAAAAGCTCAAAGCTTTCCTTGTCATTTTTGATTTGTGCTTCTTGGACCAATTTTTAGGGTTTTTGGTCCCAAGGTGGAGACTTTATGAGCAAATGGTCTCCATTGGCCTAGATCTGCCATATTTCAGGGTAATATGAGTTGTATGTTCATAAAAATCCAATCTTGGACGTGAATATTGAGCCATGCATGAGATCTAGA